GACAGGCTTTTTTGTCTGTTTTTAAATGTCAGCTAGTCTTTAAAACCTGCCCCCCACAATTTTATTTGTATCACTGTCCAACATCAACGCAACATGTTTTTTCCCCCAGAGGCCAAAAAACTCCATAGTATAGTATACCATATGAAATACTCCACAGGACAGTGTTATGCAACCTTTTTTTTTTTTAAATCAGAACTCTTGTTATATGCTGTCAAGAAAGACTTTTTGAACTCGTCTCAGAACCTTCCAGTAGCTCTCATTGGAAATACCAAGATCCACCTCTTTTAATATTTCATCCTGAACATCATGTGATTTATTTTTTCCCCCCTCCAGGAATTTTTTTGGCTATCACATTTCACGTATCATATCTCTCTGGAAGCTTACTATGGTACCAAATCTGTTGGATTACAGGATTGGGATATTGCATTATTTATTTTGCACTTATTGAGGTGTTAGTGTGGAGACCTGTTCTCTCATCAAGCATTGGAACGCCATTTATTTTTTTCACTATTCATGATCTTTGCCTCTGGAGTATAAATCCTCCATTGACTCTCATTGCTTCTTATATCTATGACATGTTCAAACAGGTTTGTTTCCAAAGCCAAAAGTATGTATTTGCCTTTTTCTTCAATGGTTCAAAAAAAATCTTATTTTTAACTTTAACCAATATTATTTTACATATTGTAGAGATTCTAATTTATGTGATCTTCAGCAACCAAAATATTGCTCTGTTCAATTCAGTTCCTGTGTCTGGACTTTCTGTACATTTACAGCATTAGGCTGAGAGCCTGAAGCCTTGTATTCATTTATCGAGCCAAAAGAAGTCTGTTACACAACTATAAATATTTAACAGATGATGGCTGTATTATTTAAAAAAGATGAAAAACGTTTATTTTAATTTTAATATGGCTGTTCCGGGTTCGATTCTATTTATTACAACAGAAAATAATTTTGACTCGTTGCTCAGATTGTACAAGAATATGTGTTCACGGTCATCCACTTACAGCGAAAGTTTACTTTAAGACATTGCTCTGGAATCAACTTTTAAATGTTCTGTTTCTAAAGTAAAGCTTTAGATGTTATGTGGATTTTAATTATGATAATACGGGACAAGTGTGATGAAACCACTTTATAGGCGCACCTGTGGAATACTTTATTTTGATTGGCCAATCGCTGTCGCAACTCGCAAGTACGCTCATCCGGGTAACTGAAACCGCTCACATTCCTGTCATACTAGAACGTAAATGGCGCCATCTTGTGTCTCCGTTTTCACTTGTAGTTAAAAAGACAATTCAGGTACAGAGCTTTGAAATATATATTTATTGTTCGCGTATCCTCCCCCCGGTAAAGAATTTCTTGGCAAAGTAACAAATTCGACTTAAAACTCTAGTCTCACTGATAAAAGGCGAGTTAGACCACAACCGCGTCTTAAATATAACATGTTGTTTGTTCAATGGAAACTGAGAGAGGTCGAAATTATTCTGTGGTAACTGACAGCATCGAACCTGGAACATTTTTGTACAGCTGTACAAGCCCCCTGCAATTCTCTCCCGCTCGACTACAGTGACCTTGATTGGATTTCATGCACTTGTAAATAGAGATTCTGTATGTCCTTGCCATAATAATGATGCTGGATTTGAGCAGGTGGAGGGGAAGGACACCTGCTGCAGGATAAATGAATCACCATGTTTCAGAGTTCCCGCTAGTCATTCGTTTTAGAGCATTAGTATAAAGAGAGTTTGTCAGAATTTAAGGTATTCATTGATGGCATAAAAACTAGTTCTCAGCACATTGACATTTGTATAGACTGGGTCTGTACATTATATTGTTGCCTACATCAGTACCTATATATTTTGATATTTTCCGAATGGAATAAACATGTTATTGAGAGAAATGATTTTCATCAGTTAAGCTGGCGGAGTGAAGTTTGCCATTGCTTTCTTGTGCAGCTGTGTACTTTGAAACCTTCTCTGGTCTTTTCTTAGGCTAATGAGAGCCGAATGGATGACTTCCAAGAACCTACAAACTCCTTTATAAACACATGTACCATTTTGGATGTGTGCATCATGCTTTGATGAGGCAGAACAGATGCTAGGGGCTTTCTTCACAGCCTTAATCTAAACAGAGGTAAGACAAAACCCAGGAATGAAGGCAACAACCATTTGCTCGGCTTCATTTTAATATTAAAACTTTTTTTCTTTACAAAAAAAAATCCTAGAGCCATTACAAAAGACTCTGCAATCACACAATACACAGTTTACTTGATTTAATTTAGATTAAATAAATCCTCAAAACAGCTTTACACATTAAGACCATGCAACATCAATGATTTCACATGTAACTATCTAAAATCGCTTGGCATATTTAATTGTGGTTTAAAAAAAGGCACATAACTGGTTTTCTTACAAAAGAAATGGGTTTTAATCCACAACTTCACAGTTAAAATCGTGCAGAAAATTATAAAATCATTGACTTTGCATTATAATTCCACAATAATTATAGGACATTTTACTACCTGGTAGGAAAGCGCATACTATTGACACAGCAGAAGGCACAATTAGGAATAAACTCAGTTACTGTTATATATTTATTGCTTGCTATGAACACTATTGGCATGTAACCAGACTGACTATTAACACAATAACTAATGGAAATCTTTTGAAGTCCCTATACTGTATATAACAACATTCCCAAAAGCTAAGGATGGCATGAAACTGGAGACAGCAGTTAAACAGTAGAAGGTCAAAACCCAACCCAAATTAATAACCCATCGCACACCAGAAATATGGGCAGTTTTTAAATTCAAGGATTAAAAACAAGCTTCTTTATTATCTACCTTCAGGAATAAAGTCCAGCAGTCAACATTGCCAGTAGAAAAATAAATATTTTAACCATAAACAAAGACATAAATACATTTTGGTGACAGAAGCCCTTAGCCATTTAACTTCAATCCAGTTTGATCAACATTTAGAGTGTCTTAGTGCAGTGATAAATATGAGCGCAAACCCTCTCCCTTCATTTTCTGGGAGGAAAAAAAAAAACTACAAACAAGACGAAATGCAGTAAATGTCCGGACTCAATATCTCTCTTTTTCTTATAACACTGGCGCCTCACAAATGGCTAAAAACTTGCTGTTTATGGACCAGTTATTAAAAAAAACCTACAAATCCGATCTCCCACAGCCATGAATTTTTAAGAATGTGATTTCCAGGGCTGGGAAATTCACAACAATTAGTGAAGTTGTGGATATTTCTATGGTGAATATACATTTTTATAGTGATTTTAAGCTGTAAAATATTGACCTGGCAACATTTTTCTTTTTTAATGAGCACAGTCCATTTAGTTATCATGGACAGCTGGAAGAAAAGTAATGGAAACTCACTGGTCAAAAGTACTGGGAATCCTGTAAAAGAAATAGAAATATAGAGCAGCAAATGCTCAGGAGCACTAACGGTAAGATTTAAAATACAGGAAGTCCAACATCAAATTTAAAGTCTAGTCTATTCTTAATTGCATCATTGTCAATGCTAATCGAACAATACAACATTGTGTACAATTTTGAATTCTTCGACCTTCTCCAGGCTGTACATGAAAATGCGAAATAATTTGAAATTCATTCTACTGATGTTTTATGGGAATGCATCCTTCCATCTCCAAAACTTCAGGCCAGCCTTCATACTTGTTGGTCTCTGCATTGTTCTTGATATACTGGAGGCATAAGAGATGGTGTAATATTTATTTAAAATATTATTCCAAAATTTGAAAAGGACATGGCCCCTCATTAGTGGGGGCTACGGCCTGAAAACAAGATATAAGCAGGGATGCAAACTCATCATGGGTGAAACATTTGACAAAGACTATGATTGGCTACAATTCTCAGTGCTGCAAAAACATTTGTCATTTGAAACTAGAGCGCGCACACAATAACACGCAGGACACGTTTGAAAGTGGGTGACTTCGAGCGGGTAGAGAATTGAGTTGGTACTATTGGCACTGTAAAAAAGACCCCCCCCCACCACCCAATCAATTTTAAAAACTCACCGGATCAACACAAATCACACAAATGACCCATTTTGAATTCAAAATGGTGAATTTCACTGAAAGGTGACATGTTTTCATCCCTGTATAAAGCAAAATTACCTGCTCAAAGGGGCTCTTTGTCTTGATCCCTTTGCCCCCTACAAACACCCAATTATCTCTGAATCCCAGTATGCCGATGCTTGAGCTGCCCAATTCTGCTATCAGATTTCTGGCCTCGTCGTTAAGCCTGTTCACACACACACACAAAAAAACATCAATTAGACAACCCAATACAGATCTGTAAAAGTCTCACCAACTATTTAGAGAAGTGACTCACTTTGTTGCAGGGTCATCAAAAGTGGCCATCATGACAATACTTCCATCTTCTATTTCCTTCAAGAATTTGATAAGCTGGTTCACATCTAGACAAGAATAAACATTTAAAAAGATTAACTTTTGCATGCCACTCAAAAGGACATTTCAGTTACTTGACTCTGCCCAGTTTGCAAATACAAACAAGCTCTTACCAATGAAACCATAAGTGGCCCTGTTTTCAACTGGTATTAAAATCAGTCTCTTGCCATCCAAGTAAAACTCAACCAGGGGGCCGGAAACCACTAGGGGGCCTCAACACACTTCCAAGTGGGCCTCAAGATAATTTGAAATGATTTAAAGAGAAAATGAGCTTTAAAATACACTTTAAAACTTTAAAATGTAGTTTAATTTGTTCCCTCGACAACTGTCATTTTTTATTTAAGAATTAATTCATTTTAAAAAATGTCTTAAAAAATATTTTAAGAAATTGTTATCTGTGAGTAAAAATTATTTTTAAAAACCTTATCCTGAAATCATCAATGACAGTAAAAGTCATGTAAATTAATGTCATAAATATCAGTTCTTGAAATTCTAAAATGATGGACCTTAATGATTCTCATTTTAATTATAAAATAATTGTATTTAATTATTTAAATATATTGCCACTATATTGTTTCTGAAAATACAAGAAGTTGAAAATGAGCAGCTTTGTCATTACAGCAGAATTATCTGAAATATCTTAGCCTACATGGGGGGCCTTCAAATGTTGGATAATAAGGGGCCTCAAAGTCAAGAAGAACCACTGCTAAATAAAAAGAAGTTAGGTGAGACGAGTGCTTATGAGTACCCACAATTCTCAAAGACTTCTCTTATGGCTACTTTTTTAGTGCAGTGGTTGACAGAGCACCACTGTCCGAGGACAACATTACAATACAAATGCGATGTGATCATATGCGTTTCGGACTATGTCTGAATGTGGTTTGAGTGATCAGACAACAAAACGGCTTGAATATAGTGCATTACTGCCCACCCACTTTTTTCCAGATGTATTTTTCCCTATTCATTTTTCCCATAGAGATTTTTTAAATAGTCTTAA